CATTTTCTTTTAAAAATAAAAATAAATATTAAATAAAAATTAAATTCAAAAAATTATTCTACCAATTTTTGATATAAGATTGCTTTGTAAATAAAGTATTCGTAATTCTCGACACCATTTATCCAAATGTTCAATTCTATAAATTAGCAAAAATTTTTATTATAAATAAAAAAAATAAAAAATCTTACTTTTCAATATCTTGTTGATGAAGTGATACTTCTTCAAGTGTTGACAATTGTCCTTCATTATGTTCAGCTCGTTTACGAATTAAACTTTCCGTAACTAAACATATCTAAATTACAACAATGATTGATACTCAACAAATTTTTACATACTAAAAACCATGATTAATAATTAGTTTTTTTTTTTGTTTTTTATTAATTGAATCACATGTAAGAAATAATTTTTTAATAAAAAATCAACATCACTTGGCAGTGGCCTCTACTCTTATTAGTATTATTGAAGACTAGATGTCGTAAAGAAACGTTGATACGCTTGATTAATTTCATCTAGATTTTTCTCTCGTCTTACTTATAACTATCTAGTCAAGATTAGTAAGTCAGCTTTTGATACTCTTGTAATTGAATAATTATTTTTGTTTTTTATTATTTAAGATTAATCAAGACATGAAGAATTCAGCAATTCAATGTAGATGTCTTTATTAAATTAATATGTAACTTTACAAACATTTGTCAATGAAAAAAATTAGTATTGTGTTCTATTATTTAATACACTAGCTATATATTTTTAATGATTATCTTTACTAAGAAAACATCGATAGAAATTTTGTTTTTCTTTACAAGACCAAAACGATACTTTCAACGAATATCATCAATGTTTTCTATGACATTAGAAGCAAACCCGTTATATATATCTTATAAATTTCTGATATTGTCATTTACTGCTGGTTTTGGTAGTCCGGATTCACAATATTTTCTATGAATTCTGTTTTTTTTTCTTTATATTAATAAATAACATGTGCTGATCCATAAATATCTTCTTTTTTTTATAATTATGTTTTTGAACGGAATTTAGTTTAAAAGCACATGTTTTTATCGCATTTATAATAAACAATTTATGTATGTTCATTTTATAATGCATCATAAAATCATAATTGGTCATTGATAAATTTCTTTTTTTTTTTTTGATTTGCAGAAAAAAATATATTAAGGCATATTTCATGTAGTTACGTAACATACGATAGTCAAGGACGTATTCAAATAAATATTTAGTTATTCAAAACTTTGAGAAAAATACAGTAAACACGACAATTGATATTCTAACATGGATCCAAAATAATGAAACAGAATAGATCGAACATCTATTACATATATGTATGGTTATTATCTGTATTTGTTGATGGATTATCTGCTACGAGCTTTTTCTGTATTCATATTCTACATATACTGGTGGATAAAATTTTTCGCACGAGTTTCTAATTGAATTATTCTTTTTTGAAAATGTTCAAAAAGAAAATAGAATTCACTTGCCTACTCTACAATAGATACGACAATATAAATTTGTTAACTCTTTATCTAAGTATGAAGATAGAGTGTTGACATGTGTGTCATGTCATATCGACTGTGAATTAGGCCAGTTGCTTTATATGCCTAAATATAGCATGTATTCTCTTCTATTCGTCCATATGGATTGTTTTTCATTTTCAAGCTTCCCTCGAAAAAGTCAATCTTCGTCAGAATTATCCAAATTAAGATAAGTACATAGAAAAATAGCTCGAGGTCCGATTTTTCATAAACTATATGACTTTTTATTTGACATCTCGTTCTTTCAACACATTGTTAATGATTTCTATCATCATCTACTTCAAAAATATTCTCTTTTCAGAAAAAAAAACACGACATATTTATTCATTTTTCTACTTATAATGTTCAAATTGTGGATTTCAAAATTTTTAAAGAAACTTCACTATTGTTAATTGTTGCATTTTTGTTTGAAAAAGTATGCAAAAATTTATGACATGACAGTCCGTTTTTGAATTAAGCTTTGTTGGTATCATATAAAATTAGCGCGCTACTTTTTTTTGAAGCTATTCAAGATATAAAACTTTTCATCCTTTTTCTCCGCCTACAAAGTAAAAATTAAAAAAAGCATTCTGTCATGCTCTACATCAGGAAATGCTTTTTTTAACAAAAGAAAAAACTAAGAAAATAGAATCAAGGCATAAAGAAGATTTTTGTTTTGTTGCCAAATGAGCTAATTTTGACCTCGTTTACTGAATAACTTCTTGAAATATCATTATATATGACTGAAAATTTTATCATAGCCTCTCCACTATAGCCCTAACATATTCTGAAAATTTGATGTGATTTCAATGTACTTTGCCAAAGATCGATTTTTAAGGGAGAGCTTAAACATTTTCAGAGAAAAATAATTTGATTTGAAAATCGTGAGACGAATTTCGTAGACGAAAAAGTAATTATCTCGGACTGTTTTCAGTGCAGTTCAGGTAAGACTCAATTTTTGTACGAATATAATACAGATAATACCTGTACTATGAAGCAAAAAACACTTGTCAAAAGATATCTTTTTTAACGGAATCACACTAAAAATCAAATTGTACAAAAAATTTTGTTTATTACTGTATATCTGACAAATTAGTACAGCTAGTACGAATAATATGCGATTATAAATAATCTTTCATCCATTTAAAGATTTGATGTTTGAAGTTGGAGAAATTTTAACTGAAAGTTTCAATCAACACAAACTTTTTCATTACGAAATAGGTAGTTAATTTATCAGAATAAAAATCCATGATTGACTAAATAGTATATGCTTTAGAAATTAGCTTTGATGATATTTCAGAATAAATAGATTGGATTGAATATAACATTAATAGGTCATGCATTTTATTACCTAGATATTATCGTTCTGTTATATTCCTTATTAGTTATTTATATTTTTGTTATTGTATGATCATTAAAGACTTGATAAATGTACATAAAGAGAACTGTGCTGATACAATGAACTTTTTATTTCTATTAGAAAATAAAAGTATAGCATATTTTTTTTTAAAGAATTTGATTTTTGTTTATCCTAATTATGTATTCAAACTCATGTATCAAGTTTTTACTTGTTAATCAATCACATTCTCATTAATACACTATTAAACAATAATTTCATTGGATTGAATCATTTATCAATGTTCGTCACTTCCAAAGATATTCCAGATGGAACAAACACACTCGGAAACTCTTGTAAATAGTCGTATATTGGCGTATTACGTAGCTGAATATTACGATTGTATTTCAGCTTATGTGACAACAAGACATACGATAGTTTAGAGAGTTTGTAAACAACTTCCGTTTAACTCATTAGGTCGCCTTAAACAGTCGTATATCTTCTTATACAAGACGAAGAAATACAGTCGTAATACTGAATTGTGTAGTACAGAAAAATACTGTTGTATTCCGTGCAATATGGAATTTATACGGGTCTTGTACTCCTCGTCCTTGTATATCACTCGTCGGTTAATGTCAATCGTCGCGGTTAGATATAATATTTATAATCTTCTCTGTCGTCAATTGAATCATAGTTACTCAGTGCAAAATTGTGAGAAGCAGAGAGACAGGCGCAAATGAATTCCCGTTTTTAGATAATATTCTTGCAATCTAGGGAAAATATTTAATTTGCATGTTTTATTCAATTCAACGCAATTATTACAATATTATTTTTATTTGTTTGAGTTTTGAAAAATTGCTTAAAAGATACTCAAAATTTTAATTTTATAAAGAAATTGATTTATTGTTTTCATTAATTACTTGTCGAAAAGAATAATACATTATTCAAAAAGAAGGGCTATTATGTCGTTTTATTCTATTATAATGATGTTTTAGAATAATTTTTCTTTGTGTTGTTCAAAAGTGTTATTAATTGAGACTGCGATCATTATTAATTGAAACTGTAAGTGCAAATACCATAAGACAGAAAATGATTCTTTCCTATGTTAGATGACTATTTATAGAGTGAAAAAGTTATTTGTACTATAAGAAGTTCAAAAGCTCATATGGATAATTTTAGACAGTGAACTAAATAGACAACCCATTTTTATTTCTATGAATGATTGTGAAATCAAATTTTACAATAGAATTTCCCTGATGACGAATTTTTACTGATAAAATAGTCTACTAGAACATCTTGCTGTATAAACTTTATTTCGAAGAGAAATAGATCAAGCAACATAAATCTACAACTGATTTATTTCATTACTAAAACAATGATTAATTGTAAACAAATTGTTTAGAGAAATTTTCATTTGAATATTATCCAATGTATTGATCATTTATGGAGAGTTTTTGCAAATAATGATGCATTGCTCAGTTTATGTTATCTTTAATTTAATAAAATAACAAAATGAATGAGACGTCGTTGAGCTTTAGCATGTTCCTGTTATAATAGAAATTCATATAGAAAAATTATACTATCATAAAATTTTGTTTCGCTTGTGAATAGTGTAGAATATCAATTTTATTCAACGAATAATAGGTCATTTATTTTATAATTACAATCACGAAAACATTATATAAGACTAGTAATACGAACGTTTTTCATTGTTTTCATTTGTTGTTATTTTAATAATGTTCCCAATTATTACTAATTGGAAACACAAAACTTCTTTCAGTAGGTTGAATTCGATTAGCATTTCTTTTTGCACGCCACTTTTTCAAATATACATCAAATAGAATAAATTTCAATTGTCGACGAAATCGTGCAGAAATTGAAAGAAAAATATAGAAACTAACCTAAAATAAGAAGAATATAAATTAAATAAATCATGACAAAAAGGATGGTACAATATTTTTACTTACTGCATAATTTACAAAGAACAGAATCGTAAAGACACGATTAACTAATTGATATTGTTTTTGAACAATAGGATTATTGATACGCGATGATATTATATATCGAATAACGTATACAATAAGAAATGGAATTACAGTGATGCAAACGCTAAGAATTCTTATTAACACCATTGCTGTTAATTATTGTTCCAAACGTAGCCGTATAATAGATACTTTTCTTTTGGACATAGTACGAACATTACGAAAAGCCATCAGACCAAATACACTCATGATGGAAATAGGTATAAAACCTTGAATGATAGGAAAACTAACATATATGGCATACTTAGCAAACGGTCCATCTTTATTTTTGGGAACACATGCCGTCGCATTTATTCCGGGTAATGGTTGGAAATCATAAAAAACAAGAAATGGAATGCCGTGTAAAATAGAAACAAATATAAAAATAACAATTAAGCATCGCATCAATTTGAGATTGATACCTTGACGTCGTTCATACGTTGATGTTGACATACATTGATCAATAACAGCCACACACATTATCATGTGTGACATTAAACCGAATACTTGTCCAAAAGCTATTGATATTTTGCATGGAAACATGCTATTCACGTTGCCGTAAACTTTGAAGATATTCACAAAAATATTTGGCAATGTATTAAATAATAACATGCCACTATCAGATATTGATAATATGAGCAGACAAAAAGCACATGGATTTGTACGAAATGTTTTCAAACTTATGAAAACAATGATGTTGAGAATATTACCAATTATACCAAAAATAAAAACAAATGATTCAGCAGAAATATTAAGGTAACGAATGGCTAAATCCAATGCAGAAATGAAGTCTGTTGTAAATGACATTGTTTTATATGTAATATAAATAAATTTTATAAGTGTGTTTCTTTTAAGACCAAACCTGTCATTAAAAAATCAAGCTTAGATGACATACATTCAACTCACATAAAATTTTTTGAAATATACTGAGACTGTAGTCGAGGAGTTAGAGTAAAATTTGCAACTTTAAATTGTAGCATTTTCGAAAGATATTCAACAAACAAGGATCAGTAACAGCTCATTTATCGAGCAAAAAGAAAAATTTGTAAGTCTTCATTTTATATTCTTAGTTTCTTTTTGCTAGAAAGAACATGTCAGAATGCAGAATATGAGAGAGATTTTTTTTTTGTTATTCTTACATTTTAAGTAGTGAAAGAGGATGCACGGTTCAATGTCTCAGAAAACTCTCAAGACATGACATTCTAGTTAGAAAATTGTTCTTTCTATAATACTAAAAATAACTTAATTAAAAAAAAATCTGAATCTGTGATGACTTGCATCTTGAGATGCTCTTTCAAAAAGAAAAAAAACGGTTACTGACAACGAAGCTTAGTCAAGAATTCTGAGATATTATCAGAAAAAGCATTAACAGAGAAAAAACCAGAACGATTTCCCGCTTTTCCTAAAAATAAAGCATATGTTTCAAGCAGAAAGTGATGAAAGTCAATTAAAAATTTTGCAAAACATGAGTTGTAAAAAAAAAGAAAACATGTCATTTATAAAAGGTCAGACCTCGATCTATCTTCCCATATATTTACCTCAATTTAGACTTTGCTGAACGAAAATTGACCTTTTTCAAGGGGGGAAAGGGGAGGGGGAGGCAAGACTTAAGATTTCAAATGAACAAACAAGAAAACATCAATGCACTGAAGTAAAATGTTCTCTGTTTTAATGTTTCTATCAGACAGATGACTCTATATATAATAATCCTAAATCTTATTTGCATAAGATTTAGGATTATAGTGAAAAACAAACAAATTCTTATTGTTAATTAAGACAATGATAATCTAGGATAATAAGTGCTCGAAAATTATTATTTTCTTCCAAAGCAGACTTAGGTGAATTTAAGATTATTTTACATGATAAGATCAAGACAGAGTTATATAAAGAACATTTGAATATTAAATTTTATTATTCATTAGCACTTGTATTCAATAAGCTTTTGCCTTACAGAAAACTAAAGCAACACCGTTTGAAACTAAATATTTGTAAATTTCTTTACATATATATATTGTTTCTTCGCGATCCTGCATTACCAGGCATTCGTCCACCAGCAAATTGAATAATTATGATACGAAGCACTTGATACTGAACAGTCGAAATTTTATTCTTTTACTAATTCTGTATCCACAAACCATATGTTTTGACGCGATAATCTCGAGAACAGTACATCGTCTGATGCTTATTGAAATCCAATGAGAGACATTCAGATCTGTATATACTGCAAGTTTTATCTGATTCCCAGTACCATGGTTCATTCACTCAAAAAAAGTTTTGAGTATTATGTCTAATCTATGCATTATTTTGTTTAATTAATAATAGGTGCCAAAGTCTTTGGAAAAATGTCAAATTGTTATATCATATTGCTAACTTCTGAACCAATAATTTTTTTTTTTTGTTAGAAAGAATAATATCTGAACAAAAAATTTTGCAGGAGACATATTTTTCAGAAGAAATCTAAGAAGAAGGAGTTGTTTAAAACCAAAAACCTCTAAAAAAAGTTCTTCCAACTTCACCATCACGCTATATCATTTTTCTACTTTTCATTAAATTTTTTATATTAGAAGTAGAATGAATAATAGACTTTGAATAATTAGTTTTGTAGTGAATTTACTCTTGGATTTTGTTATAAATTATAGCTACTTGTGAACGAGACTCTAGAATTTGGTCACTCTTACCATTTAACAGTTATACAACGATGAAAAATAGTTTTTGAATTGTTTTTTCCTAGTAAATATCTATGATTTGGCATACTGTGAATAAGGAACGCAAAAAAAATTCAGTTCATGCATGGTTCTTGGAGATTGTGCTTGATAATCTGCCAAACTGATCGTTCTTGCAAAACTCTATTTTAGAAAAAATGTCAATTTTCAAGTTTTCTTGAAAAAGAAAATCAAGAACGGTTCTGAAAAATTTTACCAAAACTGGCATCCATTGAACTTTTCAGATGTTACATTGTGGTGAATTTTTTTTTAACTAGAATTTAGTCCATATAGCTCAAAATCATAGAGAAATAGAAACTTTTCAAGTTATAAAAACTTTTTCAGATGTGTCTGGTTTTTAGCTTTTTCTTCTTAGATTTGTTTGAGAAAAATATTATTGAAAAACAAATTCAATTGGTATAGAAGTTGGCAATGTAATGTAACAACAGAGTTTGACATCTTTTCAAGGACTTGTACACAACTTAATTATGTCAATTTAATGAAATGAGAGAAGGTGATGATCTTAGCAAAAGGTTAACAATCGTTGGCACTAATGATAATCTGTCAATAGACAGTTGTTGACATCTTCTTTTATTAATTAGCCGAACTCTATGGAGATTACTAGTAATGTCATTTGTAATGATTGTGCAAAAAAAACGACAGTGAAAAGCATCAAAGTTCTTTCCTTGTCAAAGATTTACACAGCACTTTTATTTGACCATTTTTCATAGATACCTGAAGTACGAAGTCGATACAATTCGTTAAAGTACTTCAATCTAAACTAGAAACAATTCATATAGATAAAGTTTCTGCGAATCTTCCAATGTTTGATTTTCCAAGTGAGTGCTGGACAAAATTTTACATATAATTAACAAATCAAATTCTTTTTCTCGTGAATTATTAAGAAAAAAACAGAGTCCATCTGGATGAATAGAAGAAACTGCGGGTTACATTTTCATAAATAATACTTTTTTAAAGAAAAACTTTCTAAGAAGCAGTTTATTTACTTTAGGGTAGATATGACATGACACGCTTGTCAACTTTCCATCTCTGTATTTTCTTAAAGAATTCTTTTGAACTGCAACACTATATTATTGGGAGAAAATTCACAAACTAGCAATAATCTTTGAGAATTATCTTCAGAAACATTATTCCCATGATCTAATGTTGCAGTTCAAAAAAATTTCTTTATGTAAATATGGCGATAGAGGGATAATAAGTGTATCATGTCATATCTAGTGTAAACTAAGTCATTTGTTCTACAGAGAATTTTTCTTTTAAAAGCTACATTTGCCAAACTATAGCTAGTATTTCGTTCTATTCTTGTCCATGTGGATTCTGCAGGTGTGGGTGTGGGTGGGGTGTGGGTGTGTGGGGTGTGGAGTGTGGAGTGTGGGTGTGGGTGTGGGTGTAGTTTTCCTGTCAATAGACACCCACACCCACACACCCAGCCACCCACACCCACCCTCTGAGATTGTTTGCTCTTCCTCTCTCTGGTAATACATAATCTGGTCATTTTGTTGTTCTGTTTGCTTTTTTTTTCTTCTCATTTTACACTTAAAGGGTTTAGCATTTTTCTTCTCGTGTAAAAATGGAGGACAAGAACCGTATCAGTATTGGATGTCTTATCATATTTGAAAAGAACGTATGTTCTTTATTGGTAAAATAAAAAATTGAGCGGAGTAAGAATTGTCTCTGTGACACGCAATTAGGTTTTCGATGATGTATGTGGGTGTGGGTGTGGGTGGGGCGTGGGTGTGAGTGTGAGTGTGCGTGTGGGTGTGGGTGTGTGGGTGTGTGGAATGTGGGTGTGGGTGTAGTTTTCCTGTCAATAGACATCCACACCCACACCCGCACTTTCCAAAGTCCGTGATTCTTACAGGCAATGGCTCTTAAGTTAAGACAAAGCTATAAGAAAAATTTTATTTACTACCCTATTCAGTTAATGCAATGCAAAGCACAACATTTACGTAGTCCTCTGAAGTTTCTTATTTGACACATAACTCGAAATCGCTAATTTGTGTTATTATTATCTGAAGTTTGGAGAGTTGTACGATTTTCCTTGTAGTCTGATTACAGAATTCCAGATCCCACTATGATCAATTTTTTTGACAATCGAATATGAAGTTCCGTTCGTTCGGAATTAGTTCCACAAAATGATGATTTTCAAGTGAGGGCTCTGTTTTTTTTTTCACTGAATGACAATGACTTTCAGTAGCAAGTGATTAAACCGAATGTTACTGTTATCTTTCAAAGTTTTCGTTATACCAAAGATTGGTAATTGAAATTCAAAATGTATTCGTTAGGTTCCTATTTCAAACGAAACTTAAATAATTATGATGATATATGAATATAATTGAGTTAATTTACTTTCTGTTTAAGAAAAGTTGTTAAGAGTTGTGAGAGGGTCTACAATGTTAGCTAAATATGTAGTTCCTGCTAAAAAGAAATGTGTACTATTAATATACGAAGGATCTTGTTTTGTACTTCGAATTAATCTAATAGCACCATGGATCACCAAACAAATTCTATCACATTGTTCAGATTGTGATAGTAACTTTGAATCAATAGATCCAAAACATATATTAAAATATCAGATGAAAAAGAACGATTCTTGAAAGAGAAGTTTTGAAATAAGTATTGATAAAGATAGTTGGAATAAAAACAAATTACAAATAATTATCTTTCATTATTTTATTATTAGACATGAAAAATGAAAAGTAGATCACACTGAGTAATGACGATGATGAAGGACCATAACTTAAGTTAGGCCATAAACTTGTGCTTTTGCAGAAAAATCAATAGTGAAAAACCTGAAAGTTGAATTCAATTATTGAATAATGAAATGAAAGATATTCAACTGTTCACTAACATCGAGATAGATGCAATGCATCTCCTCTCGAGGCAACCACACCGAGAGAGATATGTGTATGAGTTTACATGCCGCTCAATTAATATGAATAGTTGAATATCTTTACTTCAATACCTAATATAAAATAATGCTACATCTAAAAGAAACAAAACTGATTCGTGTATGAAACTTTAATTTGCATTAACAGAACCATAATATGAATTTCAAAAGATTATTAAATATTGAAAATTATT